TTAAGTTAATTTCAAGGGCTTTGTTTGGATTTAACTTTAGTTGACTCAGCAATGGCAAGATCGAATGTTCTGACAAATGGTTTCAAACATTCAACCAAAATTCTAATAGTGTATGGGCAGCTTAAGGCTTGTCATAGAAATGTGATGTAGCTAAGTGAAGAAGAATGTTGAGCCATCCATTCTTTAAAGGGATCCGCCCAGCTGCGTGACTGACAGCTGGCTCTGCCTATCTAGAGGCAGAGCCAGCTGTACCCACCCTCCTCCCCCGTCTGTTCCGCCAGTCAGCGCTGGCGGATCGGAGCGAGGAGGGGGGAATCCAGCCCCTCCCCCTGTCACTGCAGAGAGGTATGTGTTCGCTCACCTCCCGATCTACTGAGCCGACCTGTGACAGTCTCATTGTCACAGGTCGGCTAGAACTATGAGGTAAATGAAAAGCACTCACCTCATAGTTCTCCTTTAAGTAAACACCCATCAAAAAATCTAGCCCGCACCATCCTGTGCAAGAAGCTAAATACCTAAAAGAACTATGGGGTATGTTTTTTTCCCCATAGTTCTCTTTAGGGTCACAGGATGACATATACTAACCTCCTCCCGTGACCCAAAGCTCAGTATATCGTGGGCTATTGCATGCGATATACAGTGAGCGCCGCAGCTGGGACGGATCCCGACAAATACTGTTGAGATCCACCCAGCTGCGTGAGTGACAGCGGGCTCTGCCTACCTAGAGGCAGAGCCAGCTGTGCCCGCCCCCTCCCCCGTTTTGTTCCTCCACTCAGCGCTGGAGGATCGGAGAGGGGGGAATCCCTGCGGGGAGACAATCGTGAGCGGATCGGTGTATGTTTCTGCTCACTTCCCGATCGATAGAGCCGACCTGTGACAGCTTCTTTGTCACAGGTTAGCTCTAACTATAAGGCCCCATTCACACTGAGCGATTTATCGAGCGATTTTTGCAGCGATATCGCTCATATTTCCACGCGATATCGCTCTATGTAGCTTCTCCAATCCATTTCAATGGAGCTGTTCACATCTCGTCGCTCAATATCGCTTGTAGCTCGTCGCTGGTAGCTTGTCGCTCCTACATGACCCTTTTTTCGAGCGATTTCGAGCGATATTGCTCCTGATTGCATACCGCCCAATAGGAAAAAGGCGCTCAATATCGCTCGTCGCGCAATATCGCTCAAAATCGCGCGATTTTCATGTCGCTCAGTGTGAATGGGGCCTGAGGATGAGTGGAAATCAATCACCTCATAGTTCTCCTTTAACTCTCTGCTGAGTAGTGAGTCAAAACTTCGCTATACTTCACAGTGACTGGCGCCGCTGCTATCTGACACTTCCAGTGGCTGTGGTTCCTCTCGCTGGCAGCTACAGTACTTACAGAACAATGATAACAGTGAGCTGGGGATCTGATTTGCTGCCTGCCAAAGAGATAAGCATTGTATGCAGCCTATTCTTTCACAGGGTGCTCAAGCCTGTATTTCTTATGCAAGTAACAGGATTGCTTTAAAGCTCAATTCCAGGGAAAACTTTCTCTTTGAGTTCTAATTGAAGTAGGTGTGTTAATTGCTGTCTATTGGTGATTTGGGGAGGGTATTTGCCCTCATTTCTTTTTACCCTGTGGCGCCAGGAAAAGAAATGAGGAAAATGGAAAGAGGAAAATTAGCACCAAGACAGGAAGAAACCGCAATAAAAAGCTACTAGAAGTTCTAAACCTTTCTCACTCTACTGAAATAAAGTATTTTGTTGCATTCTTTCCCCATTGGAGAGATTTCCAATCACTTTCTGTCCCTCTGACTCCATGTCACTGGAAACGGAAGTGAGAGGACATTTTGACAAGTGAAGGCACAGACAGCAATCTGGAATCTGTTCTCTAAGATTTTCTTGCAGAGTTTTGCTAGGACACAGACACTGCCCCTCCTGATAAAGTAGAGTGCTAATTTATTGTTTTCCCCACTTAGCAATTAAAACATGACAAAGGTTCTAACACTTCCCCACTCTATCCAAAACTAAAGAAAAATGTTTTGGCTGGAGTTGGGCTTTAAACCTACCACATTGTCATTTCGCAATTCAGCCAACATGAATAAATCTGAAAGTCTCATTTATCTTACCATGACCTTTGATCCTGGAGGATATTCAGCCGCAGGATAGTACACGACCTCCTGCACCTCCATACGTGGCCGATCTGAATTCTTTGCAAATATAACCACAGGAGAGCTTGAAGCCGGTGGAAGTGACACAAAACAGTCACAGGAATTAGGGTACAATTGATGGGACATGGCACTGCAAAAGAGCAAAAACTTTGTTATACTTACTGGTAAATTGACTACCAACAGCCCATGAGTGATATTGGCTGCTCCCACCATGAACACTGACACATCACTGAATGAACAGTCTAAAGCCTTGGTTCTCAACTGGTGGGTCGTGACCTAAAAGTGGGTCACGACCCCGTGTTCAGTGGGTCGCCATGTGCCTTCCACTTTTCTAGGTGAGAGGCTCCTCTGTCTCCCCCTAGCGCAGCACTGTCAGGTCTCTCGCCAAGCAGCCATTCAAAATATGCTGCTTCGGTGCCAAGTGTCAGCTTGAGGTGGGGTGGGATGGAGCTCCATCCATACGTGCATTGCTTACAGCTCCTGTAGAGGTGCCTGGACTGGAGTGACATCACATTCTGGCACCTCTACAGGGCATGCAAAAGAGCTGTCCAAGCAATACACATATGGATGGAGCTCTGTCACAGCACAACAGATCCCACTGGACCGCAGCCTGAGGATCCACTCCAGTTTTCGTAAGGAAGGAAGACTGGGTGGACCTTAATACATTTTTTGTAGTGTGTACCCTAATTCCGTGCATTCTATTGCAGTGCGACTTAGGTCGTGACTTGATGACCAAGGACAAATGTGGGTCCTGAGGTTACACAGGTTGAGAACCACTGGTCTAAAGAATAAGTGCACACAAAGTTGATTTCTCCCATCCCCTGACCTCCAAGCTCTGCAGATGCAACATTTTATTTAGGTGGAAGGAGGTCAGCAATACAAACCTACAAACTTTTAGAACAGGTTTCCACCAAATAATCCCTCTCCCTAAAATGAATACAATAAAGTCCTCCCTGCAAAGAAAATAAGAAAATAGTTAAAGCTGAACTCCAGCTTTAAAGATTTATGTATATTTACAATGGCTCAGCTTGGCCCAATGTAAGTATACATAATTAATAACCGGTAGGACCACTGGGCTCATGAAAAGCACTACAGTATCTGAAATTAATACAGTGCTTTACACCAATCTTCCGGGTCCTGGCAGGTAATGGCCCTGTGATGAGCGACTTGCCATTCAGCGAATGCCTAGTATTTTTATCAATAGGTGTTCTCTAATTGGGTGAGGGGTAGTGCCGTTATTGTCACCACTTCTGATACATTCAGATAACACCTAGTATTTATGGATAAAAATACTTGGTGCTTAATGCATGGCCGCTGTGCCGAGTGAGCAAACCAATGTGTTTTTGCACCAACGGGGAAGTTGCCCAGCGCAGCAGCGGTAGAGGACCTTGTGTGAACAAGCCCAAAAGCACTGTAGTAGCTGCAGCTACTACAGTGTTTTACATGATAATCTTGGCCCTACCAGTGATAAATTATGTATACAGTACTTATAGTAGGCCAAGCTGGACCAAAGTATCTTTGTAGCTGGAATTGAGCTTTAAGTTCCTGTTCACACCTAGGCATTTTGTCGCTCAATGGTAAGCACAACAATGCGCTCAAGACAAGGAATTCTATTAATTTCTATGGCACCTGTTCACACCTGACCCTTTTGTAATTTCCCATTGAAGTCTATAACACAAAAAAGCGCTGTAATCTGCCAAAAAGTAGCTCGTGTACTTTTTCCAGGGACAGGCGTTTTTCTGTTAGAGACAAAATGCTCAGGTGTAAATAGGGGCCATAGAAATGAATGAGATTCCTTGTCTTGAGCGTTTTGTCGTGCTTACTTTTGAACAACACAACTCCTAGGTGTGAACGGAGCTCACCTCTCCCACTGCTCATGCTGCTGATCTCTGCTGTAATGAATAGAAACCTGCACTGCAAGGGTTAAATGCTTGTTTTTTGCCTAGAGTAACAATAAAAAGGACTTTTGCTTGCCTAATCCTTGGTTCTGTAGGCTCCCTCCATGGTATGCGTTTGCCTGCTGCAGCCTCGCTAAGGCGCTCCAGCGGTCACATGGACGCTGAAATCATCGGTTAGAGAAACCTCTCACAACCTGAAGCATCAGTGACAAGAGCTGAGCGCTGGCTGCCAGGGGAGTGATAAATTAGGTAAGTAAAAGTAGTTTTTTCTGGTACCCATAAACAAGTTTAGCTTTAAAATGTAGTTATAGCCAATCTCTTTTTTCAGTTTTGGATTGAGTGGTTTTGGAACTGTCAGATTATTAATGCGGTTTGTATGTCCTCTAGGAGATTCACCCCTGTATTTGTCGTGGTCAGGGCCATCCCTAAAAGGAAGCAGTCTAAGGATGTTGCCTTAGACAGCATCTCTTTGAGTCACGTTGGGGGGGCAGCAGGCAGAGTGGCAATGTTTGCAGTGCACCTACCGCCCCCTTTCCGGCCCGAGCGTCCCAGGTTGTTAACCTGGGATACTCTGGCTGGCATCCCACCCGGCTCCTGGCAACCAGGGATGTAGCCACCCCGCCCCCTCCGTAACATGCACCTGCAGCAGCCCCTCAACCTCACCCTGCCGCCTTAGGTGGCAAATAGGTTGGGGACACCCCTGGCCGCTGTGTCCATTGTCAAAAGAACAGAACGTGATGGAGAATCCAAAATATTACAGCTGTCACTGGCACAGGAATAAGGACAATTTTGACTGTTTAAGAGGGGGTTTCCCCTCACTTGGGAGAAAATTTCACTCACTTCCCTTGTGTCTCCAGGACAGGGAAGTCTCCCCAGTGGGGTACGGAGGCAATCTTGAAAAAAAAAAAACCTGAGAGGTGTTTTATCCAACTAAAAAACAACAACTTTAGGTTATAGATACACTTGAACAGTGCTTCAAGGTGTGAAGTTTGCGGATGGAGATCAGCTACATATATAACTGTTTGCTTTTTGTTTTTGGTTGCACTTTTTGAAGGCAAAATATAATGTGCCAAATGTTCTGGGCCTGCAGCAGGGTATGAAGCCTGACTCTAGAGTATTCAGCTGAGTTTGTAATTGAAACACACATTATTTAATATTTCTTTTTTGTTGTCCTGTTAAGCATTCTTTCTTTTCTATACCATTATGTTGTTGTTGTTGTTGTTACCTGGTTGTAGAGAGCTGCTCCAGATCCTGCCCTATATAAACTTGAGTCTTGTTTTCAGCAATATGAGCACGAGGCTGAACGGTGCAGCTTTCACGGAATGGCGAAAACAACAGATGCCATCTGCTCTCTAGTGGACACAACTGGGATTGCTCCACTGTTCACCAGTTTCACCATTTTTTAACCAGAGAGAAAATAAACAAACAGGGTTATTCAAAAAAGTGTGAAGAGTTTGGAGAAGGCAGGAGAAGTGAGCAATCTAGGACTACATAGCTGATTTGAAACAATTCTCTAATTCAGCTCACTTTCCAGTTCAGCTATGTTGTCCTAGATTGTTCACTTCTCCTGCCTTCTACAAACTCTTCCCCCTTTTGTGAATAACCCTAAAAATCTCATACAGTATCATCTGTTACTAACTAATTCTAGCACAATGTCTGAGGGAAGCTGATATATAAGGCTGGCGTCACACAATAATACACATGATACCACAAGGCACATTACTGCGGCTTGCACGTGTTAGTTCATTGTGGTGCCATTCATTTGGAATCAATTTAGAATGGCACCACAACGCACTAAGGTAACAGACCTGTGTTGAAGCCCACTGCAATGCACAGCAACATACTACTATGATTTTGTTAAGGGCTGCATCGGAAAAAATTAATAAGGTCCAGTTTTCAGTGCTCCGGGGAGCATTGGCTGCCAATTCAAAACAGTTATATAATACTATACTCAGGAGTTAAACCTTAAAAATGCATTCAAGCAGAGGCGTAACTAGAACCTTCAGGGCCCCGGTGCAAGAAACCACGAAGGGCCCCCCCCCCCCCCCGGCACTGCATGGTTAACAGGAAGGCTGCCGAGGTCCCCAGCAAGCGTGGGACCTCAGGCAGCCGCTTGTTTAAAATTTTAGTGCCGGTGTTCTGTCGAGAACGCTGACCCAGTATCTGCGTTTATGTACAGACGGGATTAACGAGGAAACCGGCATTTATTTACAAAGTATTTGTTTGTAATTGTTAATTGTGACCGTTAATAATATGCTGTCCATGGCAGTAAATGATGGGCAGCATATTATTGACGGTCACAATTAACAATTTAAATGAAATACTTTGTAAATAAATCCCGGTTTCCTCGATAATACCAGTCTGTGCGCAAGCGCAGATGCTGAGGTCGGCAAATTCGACTACATCAGCATTCTCGACAGAACATCGGTATCTGCGTTTAGTATCGGGGCATTTTCATAAGTATAAGTACTTGTGAAAATGCCCAGTATTGGCAGTGGTGTATCCCTACTTAAAAATATAATGCATTGCTGGGACTTGTAGTCCTACATAGTTGGAGCTATTCTGCATTGCTGTATAATCATCATACAGCAATGCAGAATACCACCAGCTATGCGGGACTACAAGTCCCAGCAATGCATTATAATAAAAGTGAGCACTATATCACCAGCACCCCAACACACACACACACTGATGAGATTTATGCCTAGTGAGAGCAGGGCAGCAAATATCTGCGGAGCTAGCTTGCTGGGAGATGAAGAACGATCTCCCTTTGACCCCCGTGTGTGTGACCCGTCCCTCGCCTCCTTACCTTTTTCTCCGTATCGTGGCTCTCAGCAGCAGGGGAGGTGGGGGGACTTCTGAGGGTTGTCGGCAGAATTGCCTGATGCTCCGTTCCTCGCTGCTCAACTCCGCAAAGAAAAAACAACAACAACAAAACTTTAACCACGCTGCTTGCCCGCAGCTGAGCTGAACAGAGAGAAGAAACCACCCGCCCGGCGCCTGGAACTGCATGTCCCGGGCGTCAGGCAATACAAAGTAAATGCAAAATGTTATCCAAAGCTGTGGTAGAGAAATAGATTACATTAGGGAACATTACCGTGTAATATTCCCTAATATAATCCATTTCTCTCATTTAAAGAAATTTCAGCACAGTGTGCAGGGTCTGGGCTTCTCATTCTTACATAAAAAAAAAAAAAAGTCAGGTGTCAGCCCAAAGCAGACAGAGAACAGCTTATAGTTATGCCTAACATATCCCTTCATCTGACAACACAGAACACTTCTCAAATACATCCCCCCCCCCAGCGTCCGTCGGTCTCTCTCACTCCCCCTTCTCTGAGAGGATACACCGGTATCTGCGCTTAGTATCGGGGCATTTTCATAAGTATAAGTACTTGTGAAAATGCCCAGTATTGGCAGTGGTGTATCCCTACTTAAAAATATAATGCATTGCTGGGACTTATAGTCCTACATAGTTGGAGCTATTCTGCATTGCTGTATAATCACCATACATCAATGCCGAATACCACCAGCTATGCGGGACTACAAGTCCCAGCAATGCATTATAATAAAAGTGAGCACTATATCACCAGCACCCCAACACACACACACACTGATGAGATTTATGCCTAGTGAGAGCAGGGCAGCAAATATCTGCGGAGCTAGCTTGCTGGGAGATGAAGAACGATCTCCCTTTGACCCCCGTGTGTGTGACCCGTCCCTCGCCTCCTTACCTTTTTCTCCGTATCGTGGCTCTCAGCAGCAGGGGAGGTGGGGGGACTTCTGAGGGTTGTCGGCAGAATTGCCTGATGCTCCGTTCCTCGCTGCTCAACTCCGCAAAGAAAAAACAACAACAACAAAACTTTAACCACGCTGCTTGCCCGCAGCTGAGCTGAACAGAGAGAAGAAACCACCCGCCCGGCGCCTGGAACTGCATGTCCCGGGCGTCAGGCAATACAAAGTAAATGCAAAATGTTATCCAAAGCTGTGGTAGAGAAATAGATTACATTAGGGAACATTACCGTGTAATATTCCCTAATATAATCCATTTCTCTCATTTAAAGAAATTTCAGCACAGTGTGCAGGGTCTGGGCTTCTCATTCTTACATAAAGAAAAAAAAAATTCAGGTGTCAGCCCAAAGCAGACAGAGAACAGCTTATAGTGATGCATAACATATCCCTTCATCTGACAACACAGAACACTTCTCAAATACATCCCCCCCCCCAGCGTCCGTCGGTCTCTCTCACTCCCCCTTCTCTGAGAGGAGGAGGGGGGAAAGAGTGAGAAACACACACAGACCGATGCTCAGAGGAGGAAGGGAAGCATGAGAGAGACCGACCGACCAATGCAGAGAAGCTCTCAGCGTCGGTCGATCTTTCTCCCTCACTTCCTCCCCCCCAGTCTCTAGCACATCCCCGGGGACTCTGTCTGCAGGGAAACACTTACATTTCCTCCAGACAGCCGACCTGCAGCTCCTCTTCAGCCACATTCTCCGACGCTTCTGCCCGGGGAAAGCAAGCTCCGCCCCCTGCACGCACGTCTGAGGAAGGTTCCAATAGCGGGCAGGGGGGGCTCGGGACATGCCAAATTGTACTAGTCATCATTTCATAATAAAAAGTTATAGCTTGGAGCCCGGCCGCCTGGGCCCCTAACAACTTCAGTGGCTGTACCCCCCTGATGGCGGCTTTGCAGGATAGGAGGGGTACGATCTCGGGGGCCCCCTTCTTCCTTGCTGGGCCCCCCCAAGTGGCGGAATGCCAGGGCCCGGTCGCAATTGCGACCACTGCGACCCTGGTAGTTCCGCCAGTGCATTCAAGTATCCTTACTATTAACAAAAATGTAGCTTATTTGTGCATGCACTCGGCCATAGATCCTCACATCATCTCTGAAGTGGTGCTGACACTGTCCTTCCTTCTGGAGGGTGGCTACTTTTGTTCCCCATGGTCCCTATGTGTGTTGTAAAGTAGCCAACACTCCAAGCTCGCTCCCTTAATGGACTACAATCTCAATACAAATTAGTAAACTGAACATGAGATTGTAGTCCATCACCAGAGTGAGTTTGGTGTGGTGGCTACTTTACAACACACACATGGACCATGGGGAACAAAACTAACCACCCTCCAGAAGGAGGGACAGTGTCAGCACCAATTCAGAGATGATTTGAGGATCTACAGCTGAGTGATATACAAATAAGCTACACCTGAGTTAGGTTCTAACAAGAACTTTAGAACAGGGAAAAAGTTCTTTCAAGAACTTAGAACTCAATGAAAGTCTATGGGACCAGAACTCGTAAAATCAAATGTCCCTATTTTGAAGGCTTATATGCAAGTTATTGGCCATAAAAAGGGTATGGGGGATTCGGGTACTGCCCTGGGGGACATGTATCAATGCAAAAAACCCTTTTAAAAATGCAGTTTTTAAAGGAGCAGTGATTTTAACGTTGCTTAAAGTGAAACAATAAAAATGAAAAATTCCTTTAAATATCATGCCTGGGGGGTCCCCTTAAACTCCTGTAAAGTGGTGGATCTGTACAATGTATAGAACTTGCTGCAGCAAAACTGACATTTATAAAGAAAAAAAATTATATTTAAATTGGCGGTAATTGGTTTTCCCTTAATCTTGTAAACAACTGCTTGGGGAGGCAGCCTGTATGAAGAGGCCACATTTTAGGAGATTTTTTGAAAAAATTCTGGTTTCTCTTTTGCAGATGTTGGATGAAAGTAACAACAGGTGCTTTCAAATGGGGCCTTTAGTGTTGGCAGTGCCTTCACACCGTAACCCTTCAGAGTTATTATTGACGAGTGCAGGATTGGGCCCTGCTCTAAAAATTCAAATTATATATACCTGTCACACAGGTGTGGAAAAATGGTAACCAAAGTAAAGGGTATGGGGGATTCGGGTACTGCCCTGGGGGACATGTATCAATGCAAAAAACCCTTTTAAAAATGCAGTTTTTAAAGGAGCAGTGATTTTAACGTTGCTTAAAGTGAAACAATAAAAATGAAAAATTCCTTTAAATATCATGCCTGGGGGGTCCCCTTAAACTCCTGTAAAGTGGTGGATCTGTACAATGTATAGAACTTGCTGCAGCAAAACTGACATTTATAAAGAAAAAAAATTATATTTAAATTGGCGGTAATTGGTTTTCCCTTAATCTTGTAAACAACTGCTTGGGGAGGCAGCCTGTATGAAGAGGCCACATTTTAGGAGATTTTTTGAAAAAATTCTGGTTTCTCTTTTGCAGATGTTGGATGAAAGTAACAACAGGTGCTTTCAAATGGGGCCTTTAGTGTTGGCAGTGCCTTCACACCGTAACCCTTCAGAGTT